TAAAGATTATTCTTCACTACAATGACTGCTGTACTGGACCTCACAGCATCAGCATATCAGCATTTGTGATATAGTTAAGTGTGATACTGCTACAATAGAAAGGATGATGGCATCATGTTGTTTTGAAAAGATTGTATTAATCTGAGCCTTTTACTAGGACATACAGAACTAAGCAAGGGCTGAGCTAAACCTCTGCACTGCATTGCAACCACTAGAACAGAAAATCCTCATCCTCTGTGAAATATGAACATGAAAATGAGCAGCACAGACATGACCTCATTTTTTACTCTCTCAGAACAAAACTAATTAATTGCACATTCAAATACTTGCTCCACAGTGTTATCTCAGAAAGAAGTGGTGCTGTTTGCTATAAATTGATGGGGCTTGTCTCTATTTCTGTGGTTTGCTAAAAAGCCAGTAATAATTCTAAATAGAGTAATAATCTTTATTTAATTCAATGATATTTCTTTTCCCCAAGAATAATTTAGTTAAGGAAATTTGGAGATGCTCAAAACTAATACATAGTGTCATGGTTTCACCCCCACTGGCAACCCACACAGCCATTCACTCACTCCCCCACCAGTGGGATCAGGGAAAGAATTGGAAGGGTGAAAGCTGGAAAACTCAAGTGTTGAGATAAAGACAGTTTAATAGGGAAAGAAAAAGCCCCACACACAAGCAAAACAAAACAAGGAATTAATTCATTGTTTCCCATGGGCAGGCAGGTGCTCAGCCATCTCCAGTACAGCAGGACCCATCATGCACAGCAGTTACTTAGGAAGAGAAAAACTCCAAACGTTCCCCCTTCCTTCTATCCCTCACTTTATATACTGAGCATGATGTCACATGGTTTGGAATATCCCTTTGGTCAGTTTGGGTCACCTGTCCTGGCTGTGTCTCCTCCCAGTATCCCATTCACCTCCAACTTCTCTGCCAGACTGGAGTGGGGAAAAGCAGAAAAAGCCTTGGATTTGCCTAAGTTCTGCCCAGCAACAACAAAAACATCTCCCTGTTATCAACCCTGTGCTCAGGACAAATCCAAAACACAGCCCCACACATTCCACTGTGAAGAAAATGACCCCAGCCAAAACCAGCACTCAGGAACATGGCATTAGTATGAATAAGTCACAGGAAGATAAAATTGCAGTTCACCTGCAGCCATCCTGCAGGACATGGTGACCAGGGTGTGCTTCAGAAGCATCTCTGTTCTTTGTCAGTAACTGGATGGGAGTCCTCATGTTAAAACCTGCTGAGGTAGGAAGCTCAGAGGATATCCTGTTTCCTCATGAGTCAATATTGAAGCAATGAAAGAACTCAGTGGATGGCATGAGTGTGATGCGGTGATGAGTTCAAGACTAGAAAAATCAAGGTCCTAGTTCCTAGAGGAATTTAAAACCTCAGGTTTGTCTCTCTTGCTTCTTTGTTTTTCTAAAGTCATGGGAAATGGCAGCTGAGCCATTGCTGCCTTTTCTTGGATCTGTAGTGACTCTTTCAGCCAGTCTCTCTGAGGCACTACTGTGCACTCTGTTTTATAGAGTGTAATTTTAATTAGCTGTCTAGGTCAATTCATTTTTATTCAAAGTCCTTGCAACACTTCCAAGTTCTGATTCATCAAATCCAGAAATAAAAGCTACAGGATCTTCTCCAGAGATTTCAGTATGAGAAATACTCAAAATAAACAGGGATTTATTGAGAAAGGTTTATTCACAGGTAAGCATTCATGTAAATAACCAAGCCTTAGCTCTTCAAGTTGGTGCACAAGGTTGGCTGTTGAGATTACTGTCTTTTCCTATAGTAAGATTCAGGACTGTAGAAGTATCTCAACATGTAGAAAATCATAGCTTCTTCCCCTCTCCAGTTTTTCTCTTCTGCACTGCCCTTCCACTCCCTTCTCTCATGCCTCTCAAGGTTAGCCCAAATAAAATTCTCTGATGGCCAATCAAAATTTGCTGGAAATTTTTTTCTATTAACTTTTGAATCCTCATTTTGCTTTCACAAGGTTTGCACTCTTCACCCCTCTTTCTGTTGCACTGCTGGGGCTCAGCAGGCTTTTCAGAGGTTTCTTCTAAGCCTTCTGCATGGCTAATTACAAAGCTGTAATTAGCCATGTGCCACATTCCCAAGGGAGTATTGAATGTTATGCTCATCTACGGCCTAATTAAGCTTCATCCTCAATAAATATTTTAAACTATTAAGTAATTATGTGATCGGGGAGGGAAAGTTAATAAATGGCATGAATTGCCACCCTAATGAACTTTAAAAGGTATCAAAAGATCACTAGGGCAGCTCTGCTGATCAGTGGATAAGGCAGCAGGCACCTGCAGTTACCCCAGATAAGGGCAATTAGTGGCAACACGAATAATTAGAGCCCTTGTGCAGCCAAGCTTTGCAGGAGCCCTAGATCCCCCTCCACACAGCAGTGTGGGTCCCCAGAAAGGCTCCCAAGGAAAGCAGTGTAATAGAAGCAGTGAGCAAAGGAGTCTGAGACCCTTCCTCGTGCCCATATCACCCCAAGCACCTCTCCAAGGCTGCTGCATCTGTGCCTGTGCCTCGTTCAGTTTTTTGGGGTACCAAGGAGCCTCACAGAGAAGCTGCATTCCACTCAGCACTACCACTGCAGGGTACTTCCAACCTAACCTCCTGGGAAATACCACAAGGCACACAGAAAACCTTCTGTAGAAGCATTCTATAGTCAGTATTTTTCCCAGCTGAGTCATGCATAAAGTTAGAAAAAGCTGGGACGATGTATTTCTCTCAGGTATATGAATATATTATCTAAATAGCATACACACAGAACATCTCTGATGACAATCTATGCCACCATCCTGTCACTCAAATGAGCTTTTTCATTATCAACATAAGTCATTGCCTCCAGTGACAGCTGATAAAGAATTCTGTATAATGAAGAAAATAATTTATAAATAAAAATGAAACTTGGAATCCATAATAAATTATGCAAATATAAAGAAGATAATGAATTTCAAAGATTTCATTTGTTTTAGGCACAAAATACCTTATTCTTAAAGCAAATTTTTCAGTTACCTTTCTTAGACTTTAGTACACCTATAATGTAAATGTTCCACATCTAATCTCTGTTCACTCCTACAGTGTTTCCACTCGTACAGAAATTACTTTTCACATCATATCACATCAGTTCTAATGCGTATTTTCATTTTATAATGGCTCCTTTTGTGAAAGACTTTGAAATCTGATATAAACATGCATCACTGATCACAACGCAAGCACATGCCTAGAATGAGGAACACCACACATGTATTTTTCAACTTAAACAGGGTGAAGTAGTTCTACTGAAGTCAGTGACCCACACTTTTTCACCCCAGGTTATGAGCTTTATTGTGAAGTGAGCCCATAATCTCAAACCCAGGCCCAAACTACAAACTGCAACACACACAGCATTCCAGTTTTGCTCTGCTTTTCCCCATCTGAGCTGCAGAGGAGGTAGAACACACAACGCTACTTGTATGAATGACATCCAGGAGCTTGAGCTCTTAAAAATTCAGGCTCAGTTACTGGAAACAAGTCCTAAAATGTTTGGAGCCCAAATGGCTGGAACCCAGGGTGATTGTTGAATGAAAACCAGTGGAAAAAATGTTATCCCTAAAGCAATTCCAGACAGGCAGTTCCAGGAGGAAAAGCATGTTTGACTTAAAGTGAGTGCTCTGTTCAAATAAGACCGCACCCATGTTTAAATCTCTCATTTCTGTTTACAAGAGAACTAGGTGGCAAATGAAAGTTTGCTACTTGGCATTCCAGAGTACTTTTTCCTTAGCAATTGTCTGAGTTAAAAAAAAGAATTAACAGGCTCAAACAAAAAGTGGAACAATTTACTTTCGGCTACATTTGATAGGCATGAATGCATAATGCTTTTAAGCCTTGACGTTCAAAAGAAACAGCTAAAAAAACTGAGACACATTAAGATAAGGAAATCAAATGAAAACACTAAAACATGGTTTCCAAGTGGGAGATTCTAACTTCATTGGCTTTCAAAACTACCAGCCTGTGACCACAAGAGAAATCTTATACTCTGTGATAAAAGCAACTGCAGAAGAAAAAAAAATATAAATCTATGCAGTTGGGCACAAACTATCAATTTGAATGTGCAAATACTGAACCACACTGTTGTGACTGAAGAACAGGCAAACAATATCCAATCTAAGATAAAAGTATCAAGTTCACGCTTTTAGGAGCCCCTGGCTCAAATGATAAAGGTATTCAACAACTTAAAAGAGGTTTCAAAATATTTGAAAGCCCAACTTCCTTTGCGAAGCAGCAGGTAAGGAATGTGCCAATGTGTACCATCCAAAGGTGATGTCTTAGTCCTGAAAACTCAGGACTTAAGTTGTCCAAAATGGGGAAGTTTGGCAAGTTTGGTCCAGAACACTTATATTTTAACTGTTGCATTACAAAAAACAAGTTTCAAGACATACCAAATTGTCTATATTTTTTAAATGCTATTGCAGCAAACTCACCAAATAATCACATTTTGTAACTATACTGTATCTTCAGAGAATATACCAATCTAAGCAAATTAGAGATTTATAGAGGTCTTCAAAGCAGGGGCAACTTTAAAGGCCATGAAGCCTGAAAAGACAAAACAGACCATGTTCCTCAAGGCCTTGTCCAGCTGTGTTTTGCATGCCTTCAAGGGCAGAGCCTCCACAGCCACTTGGGCAACCTGTTCACTGCACTACTTTTCCATTCCCTTCATATTCAATTGTCAGTCCCAGTGAGGACCATTCCCTTCATATCCAATTGTCATTTCCTTCCCTGCAACTTGTGACTGTTGCCTCTAGGGTTTCCAGTGCCACCTTCTGGGTGGGTTCTGCCCTAGGGGTATTCTAGGGCTAGAATATCCCTAGAAAATTCAGGCACTTTTCCTCAGAGCTGTGCTCCCCATTTTGTTCGGATGGATAGTGTTACTTGGTCACAAGTGCAAGAATGTGGATTTATCTTCACTGAATTTCATGAAGTGTCTGTCAACCATTCATTCCTGCAGCCTGGCCAGGTCCCTCTGAACAGAGGCTCTGCTCACCTCAGCACCTGCTGCAGCCCCCTCGGATTCATGTCATCTGCAGACAAGGTGAGGGTGCAATTCCTCTTCTCCACCCAGGCTGTACAGCCCACCCCTGTGTTACTGCTCTGCTATTCTGTAGTGTTACGTGAATTAACTTCTCCTTCACCATTTCCTGTTAGAATAGTTCATGGGAATGCTGCTCTGCTCATCTAACATTACAATAAACAGCACTGTGGAAGAGAGAAACTCCTAAAAAAATTCCTTGGCCAAATCCTTATCTACTGCAAATTCCTTGCATTTCTGATCAGCTTATACAGAAGTGAGATCCAGGCTTTTTATTCAAAAACCAAAGTGCCAGTAATGTATTTAAAAATCAGCAGGCTGTTCATTATAACCGGTTCTTGGTGCTGCATGTATTAGTTCACTGCTGGCATAAACATCTCCTTGGATGAGCACAAGGAATCAAGGAATTGGCTACTTCTGTCTCACTGCTGCGTTAAGACATGCAAACAAAAACATGCTGAGTGTTTCTACGCTTAGTTACATGTACTTTTGAGGAAAGAATGACTATTATTTGAATGCACTTATTACCAGTTGAGCCTTCCTAATCTCTAGATATCTCTTGGGCTTAGAAAAATACGCATTTTTTGCAGGAAAATATTTTTTATAATCCTTAAATAAATTTCTTGCACAAGAGTGTAGTTGTAATCTAGAAAATACTCACAATGGGAGTGAAGTTAGGAAAACACTACCACCCATTAAACCCCCACCCTCCTATGGTCCTTGAACATTAGCCAAGGTTTCATTGTAGCCTCCCTTAATTTGATCCCAGGAGCTAATACCATTGACTTGAGTTCACTTTTCATGATAGGAACACTCAATATAGGAGACTTGCCTTGGAAGAATGACTCATAGACAAACAACAGTGCCCCTTCCATGACATCTATGATGGATCATTCAAAGTTCACAACAAACTGTTTCACAAAGAGGAGGCTGCTTCAAGTCAAATTGTGAGACAGCTGTTAAACAAATCTACTCCATGGAAATTTAGTCAACCTTACTACTCCTAAGTGGACCAGGAAATCAGAAGCATCACATGTGAGAGAGAGAGAGACCCTGTTGATACCAGACCCAGTAAGACTCTTTTCAGGTTTGACAGCTGATATGAAGCACAGAAGCTCTAGGTCTCCTTTCACTGACAGCTCCTGTACCCAGGCCACAGCCATCACACCCAGGAGCTTGCTCTGATTCACAGCAGCAAGGTGATGCTTCAGCCCACACAAATAATCAGAAAAAAACTGGTGTATTAGAATATGGATCTTTTTCTGACAAGATTTTCCTAGCTGTATCACTCTACAGTATGGACAATACATGGACTTAGCACTGCTACCATTTCTGTAGGCAAAACCCAGCCCTCTCATAAGTGACACTGGATGTGCAGGATGGAAACAGAACATCAGCTGGAAACCAATTCAGATAGGAAAGAGCACTTGCCTCTTAGAGATCCCAAGCATTGAATCACACCTTCTAGAAAGTGTGAAATGGACCTCAAGAAAGAGTGAAATATTACCTTAGTACATGCTTTCAGTGCTCCCAGTGCTGATACCAATGTGCTGATATGTTAAGTGGGCTCTCCACTGACAGACAGTTGCCTGTATCCACATTTCTAAGCCCAGTTTGCTTCTGTGCAAACCTATAAAACCATATTATTCCTGGGCTCCCTGAGTCCTGGGTCCTGCCCAAGCCTGAAATCTGCTGAGTGTACAAGTCAATAATTTACTATCTTCTAATTCTGCCACAAAAGGGAAATAACGATAAGCTGCTTTTCTGTGTAAAGCTACTTATTTCCAGCAATTCCTTAATACAGAAGAAAGGGTCAGGAAAAAGGGGAAAAGGCTGACAGGGAAGGCAATGGTTTGTGCCTCTCACTCAACTCTGCATATGGTTTGAATGTGTAGATGAACAACTGCCTCTGTTCCTACAGTAGTTACAGTGCTATTAAAACTCTGCTAATTTGTTTAAAAAACTACCAATCCCTATTAAATGCAAGACAGTCTACAAAGGACTCCTTCCTGCGGACACATGTGTTTAGCATAGTGCAGCAATCAGCAGGATTGGCCTGGTCCCCTCACTGCTTTTCTGGTGCAGGTTTGAAGCAGATCTTGTTTATTGTTCTTTTTTGCAAACCTCTGTGAGATCTTTGAAGTGGTTGGGCTCCTTGAGCCAACAGGCCCTGTGCTGCACCTGGTGTGAGGCAGACTGAACAGCTCCAAAGTTAAACAAACAGCCATCCCAGCCGAGCACGGGGCACGAGTCACAGATAACAGCAGCCAGGGCAGCCATGATCCATCCAAACCAAACTATATCTTGTCTTGAAAAAGCAATTTAGAGCTGCACTTGCTGTTCAGACCAGTCTGCTGTGTTTAAACAAAAACCCTATTCTTTAACACACACATGAAGAATCCTTCACAGGATATGTCCAGAGGAGCATCCCTCCAACTCCCTGCTCCTTTTTCCAGACTCATCATCCTTTTTAGTATTGTTATCATGCCTTGCTGTAATCCATGCTTTAAACAGCACGTAATTGAGGCTCTCTTTTCCTTACAATCAAATCAACACTACTTGTTGGGAAATCAAATGACAAGAACATTCAATTATTCAAGAGCATAACACCAATTTCAAAACATCCTACATGTATACACATTTGGTAAATTAATTGTTTTCAAAAACTAGTCTTTAATGAGGAACTTTCTGCTCCTTCAAAGTTTTTCTTTTTTTCTTGTTTTAAAAGTAATTTTTCTTTCTTCTTTTCTTGTCATATAATCAAGTTCAAAATACAGCAAATTTATTAAAATATAAATCTCCCTAAAAGTCAAAAATTGTTACCACAGATTTTTTTTGGAGCTATCTCTTCTTATTAATAGTAGTTCACAGAAAGATAGATTAGTTAAGGTGAATCTTTATTCAGTCCTGTCATTGAACAGTCAAAAAAATCGAGCTTGGGAATTTTGCTTGAACATCAGCTTCAGGGTTTGATCTCTTGAAACTCAGCTTTCTGTTATGATAAATTATATCTGCATTTCTCTGTCTTAAGTGAGATGTGGATATTACAGAAAAGCTGTAGTAGAGTGACCACAGATCACACAGCCAAAGGAGAGGCTGAATAAGGCAACAGACCAAACACAGGTTTATGTATTTTCAGGATAAATGGAGCCTTTTTGTGAGATTTTGTTTATTCTATGAGCATGTTTTTTATATGAATTCAAACCGAAACAAACTCTACATTTTCCCACTCCCCACATGAACTTCCAATACCCTGTAAACTCATCCAAAACTGACGAGTTTCATCAGTATTTTTGTAAAACACCACTTGGTCAGACATTTGCCAGGTTTTTGGCAATTTTTTAGTTAAATTGCCTACATACTGACTTTTTCGAAAAAAAAATATAATACTTAATGTTATTCCTCTCTTCTCTCTTCTTTGTTGCTATTACTGAGACACAAGGATATTCAAGGATAGTAAGCAAACAGGAGAAAATGCTTGCAAAACTGTCGAGCAAATATCATTCCTACCTCCAGCCTGGTCCTGTCCACATCCTTAGGCAATTTCACACGAACTCGGTTTGTTACAATAAGTGTTTCATAAGGATAAATCTGTTAAAAAGACAAGAGCACATGACCTCCAGCTGAATCCAATTCTGAGGCATGGAAATGGCGGTATGGGGAACTTACTAAAAAATGGTACATACTTGCATCCTGATTTGACAAATATTTCACTGGGACAAAAATTAACAAAATAAAATAAAAGAAAGGAACCCATGTAACCTTGCTAGGAAGTGCTGAATCTGATTGTTCTTCCAGTGTTGGGAAAGCCCTTCTTACCTTGTATTCTGCAAAAGAACGAGAACAGGTTCACAGTTTAGAATTTATAGCTGTCTTTTGGCGTCACCACAATGAACATTTAGGTACATCACAAATGTGCTATGCTACTACACTTCTCTCTTCTCAGTAGCTGTTGGATAACTGCATGCATAGTAAGAATCTGACCCCCATGCCCTGAATGCCTGTAACACTGTCTATTACCAAAGCAATCGTCCGGGAAATCAAAGGCTTATTACAGAAAATCCATCTCCCGATGCCATTGGGTTACACGGTGAGTGTGGCTGGCAAAATTGGGTATCTCTTTATACAGGAGCCTTATGTGCAGAGTTAAGTCAGTCTGTCATCCAAAACTCCTGCCTTTATTGTTCTTTACTGAAAATAGTTAAAATATACGGATTATTAAAGGCATGTCAGTTTGGAAACATATATGAAAACCACTGAGATAATACGATATTACAAGATGCCACCACCCTGCACTTGGGCTGACTGCAGTGGGAATAACAATAGGGAAGAAAATATGATTTGTGGATGTGGTAATAATGACTCCTGAATCTACACTAGCACAAGGGAATTCTAGTTAGGTCAGTGTATGACTACATATGATATGACTACCACAATTATCTATTCACAATGGTGATTAAACGTGATCGGGATAGCCAAAATGTTTTCACAGACTTCTTTATGGTCTGAAATTAAACCAGAGATTGAATCTACTTTTCAAAATCCGTACTTTAACCTATTTAAACAGAGACAAAGATTTTTATCAACACAGAGTCATGAAGTGAAGCATTAGAGTAAGATTTTTAAAATGAGTTAAAGTGTCTTGGAAATAAAATTTTTCAGCTCTTTTGAAAATTCCAACCCAAGTTCCATATGGGAACAGCCCACTTAAAACTGCAATGAAAGAAAATACTGCAAATGAATTCTGCTTTTTGAACTCTGTACATTTTAACCACACTGTAGCACAACCAAGAAGCACAATGGACCTTTTCCAACTAGACTTGAAGGAATGATTATCTTAAATTTCCTTCTGTCTTTGATATGAGACCAACACCACAAGGCTGTTGCCACACATGGAGGATCCTGCTATTGACTCAGCCTGGTTGCACCACCCTATGATGCAAGACCTCTGTCAGGCTCAGGTTAAGGTTAAAGTTGGGCTAAGTAAAAAGAAGAGTCTGTGATATTAACGATACTGAGCTATGTCTCTAGCTAGTCGTTATTATGTGAACTACAGGAAGAGCTGAGAATAGTAACCTTTATAGTAGTATGTTAATTAAAATTAAGGGAGTAGAAATGGTATTGCAAAAAAAAAAAAATGTACCTTTCATCCCCCAGCTTGCCTCCTGGTCCGTTTCATATTGGCCCATAGTTTCAGGCTGACAGAGAAAGAAAGCAGCAATGTAGCAGCAAAATACACAAAACCCCCACTCTGAACATTGTCGAGAGAAAAAAGACATAGAACCAGAATACAGATCCTTGCGTGAGAGAAAGAGAAGTAAGTCTCATTCTAATTTGACCTAACTGCTCAAGTAAGCAAGCTAACACTGGAACTGTCACTATTCTGTGAGGCTGATGTGTTACTGCCATCATCACAAATCACTTCTGCTGCACTGCAACTTTTCTCCTTCTGCTTCACACTGCTGATGCCTCTGAACAGGGAGAACTCTCCATGTGCCATATATGTGCTGTGTTTGAACCACTATCTTCTTTGCTGACAAACACTATGATGATAAACAGTACAGGAAATCAGAAAAGCACTATTATATGATTTTTTTTCCCCCCCCAAGTCTCATTTTTGCCTGCAAGGGTATCAACGGTGTGCACAGCTATGCTCACAATAACCTGCAAGGCTCCTTGTTTGCTTTTGGGGTTTTATTTATGCAGCACTAGGATGGCTGATTAAAAATAAACCACAAAAGCTGGTACCAACCTACAGTCCAAAGAGAGGACATCCATTCTGAGAGGAATACTGTCCTCAAGGATTTGACCATGAGCAACCTTTTCAACACTTAAACAGGTTTGGGATTCTTTATATGGGACAGATGCTGCCATCTGCTGCTTTCCCATCACATTGCAAGGCATCCTGAGTGCTTTGGCCTCATCTCTGGGAAGTCTTGGGATGGTTTTGGGGCCTCACCAGCGCAGTGGCTGGGAACAGATCAGTGTCTTGCTTGTTTCAGGTTACTGGCAACACCTATTGTGAAAAGAGAGAAAAACCTCTCTTGACTCATAGGTGGGATTAGTTTTCTATGGACCCTCTTAAATTCCTAAATATTATTCAATAAAATTTCAGTGTCATTCCTTACTTCAGAGAAGAATTCAAGAAACCAGGTATTGAAGCAACACAGGCATAATTAGTCTTGTAATATTAACTCAAAGGGATGGACATTTCAGCAGCTACTGAAAAATCCATTTAGCTACTCTCTGATAATTTCCTTCTTGTAGCTCCTTCCAAATGACTCTCAGTTTGACTCTTGTCACTGGGTAAGTTTAATCTTCCTCATGTGCTTTTGCAGGTTTCACATCTTCCTCTGGAGACAGAAAGGCATTTGAACGAGGTCCTCTCCATGCAATTTGGACACCAAAAGGTAGGTGCACATGCATCTATATATTGACAACTCATTACTATAAACCACGGTGTTTTTTCACCTAATAGTATCCATACTATCAGGTATAGTATGGATACTATTAGGAACTGAGAATCCATAATGCTAGATTTCAGAGATAGAGAGGCCACACTATCAAAGCTTCCTTTTTATTAAAGACTAATAAAAGTTGCAAAAAAAAGGATTAAAAAAAGAATTCCTAGTCTGTTCTGGTAATAATTTTGTTAGACAATTTTCTTTCTAGATTGCTGCTTGTCATTCAATCTTCACTGATCCCTCCCTGCCTTAAAAGCACAATGGCTGTGTGTGAATACACACACCACACACTGACACACATTCATACTAGGAAGAACAGAGCAGAGGGTTCAAGGAATGCAATGGATGTGGGCTGTTCCACCTTTGCTTTAAGACCATTACTTGTCTAATTATAGGCCTAACTGTCTCTATCATTAATTCAAGCTATGCTATGATTAATATGTGCAGTCTGTATGTACATTTTAGATTTTTGTTTGTTCTGGGAGGAGAATCAAGATTCCCAATGCTCACAATGCACACAATTAAAAGGAGAAGCCAAAGTCAGTCTTACTCTTGCAGAGAGACAAACTGTAACCCACATAGGGAATGAATCTGTCAGACAGGGATGGAAGCCGAAACACCTTTGAAGTGTTATTACTGTGCAGATTTTTAACTAGTTAATGAGTTGTATATTTACAAGACCTTATTTCCTGGAGAAAATATTTAAGTGTGTACCTACCTGATGTAAGCCATTCTTTCCATAGCCAGGTAGAGAAGCAGACTTAGAATATGGAAATCCTGTAAAAGACATAATATATAGCTATATTTTTGCAAATCTTTTACAGTCTACAAAAACAGGGAATCCAAGAAAACATCCAGAAACAGAAATTACAAGATCAATGCAAATATTCTATCAATGAGATGAAATACAACTGATCTATGCTCATCTTTTCTCCATATTTCATGCACATAAACGTGTGTAACAGCAGCATGCCAGGGGCACAAAGTGGAGGGAGCTGTGGGGCTTACATTTTGAAAGCCTCGTGCATCAATGTGATTTGATTGATTGTAAAATCTCTGCCTTCCAATTTGAAACTGGGATGATTTGAAATTGGGATTAAAGGGTTTTAGATTATCACTTCTGAACGTGCTATATGAGTTCTGGGTTATGGTTTTGTTTCTTAAAAAAGACGGGTTGATACACTACCACTTAAAAAATAAAACTTTCTTGTTTTTCTTTCTGTAAAACTTCTCTTGGAAAAAAGCAAAAATGAAGATGCAGCAGGGGATAAAGTAAATCAGCCAGAGTATACACACCCAAGCGAAAGAAAGTTTTAAGGTGGAATAAAATTGGCCAAGTGGTGTTGCCATGAATAAATGATGTAACACAGTGATGAAACTGTGTGTGGCCATTACAAGACAACTGAAATGCCTTAATTTTAGTATTAAGACTCTAATAAGAAAGTATAAAAGTTAAACAGTAGAAGAACAAACACATGTGTAATAAACATTCCTGATTCCAGTATAGGAAATTATGTAAAACTGACACAAAGTATCACAGAAGTCAGCTCAAAGAACTGAATGTACAATACTTCTTTCTGTCAAAATTGTTAGCAGTCTGTGTCCAAAGAGGAATGCAGGAAGGGAATCCAGACCCCACTGGATTAATAAATACCCTAAGGAGATTATTAGGAATAAGCATACAGAAAGAAAAAACAAAAGATGGATCAGCAGAGAGCTCAAAATGTGCTGAGATAAACTGAAAACTGCCAGAAGTCAAGCTGAGTTAAACATTGAAAATGATATTAAAACAAATAGCAAAAGTTTCTCCAGCTATCCAAATAAAAAGAGAACAAGGAAAAAAGAAATGGGATCACTGGGAGTTGCACTGTGTCAGTACTCAGCACTCAGCAAAGGTGAAAGAAAACCCAGGTAAGGCTTGAGCACTGAAGGAGTATTTCATCCATGGAACAGAAAGTGGAGTACTGAGCAAGCATGAAAAGCTAATGGAATAAGGGTAGGCCAGTGAATCACTGTCACTATGGACAAAAAATTCAAAGCACTTAATGTACTGAAACAATTCAAAGCACACAATGTACTTAAACAGGGAGCAATAAGCTCATATCGGATTGCAAGCCAGATACCTCCTACCATTAAAGAAGGGCAACTACAGTTTTTGTATTTAAGACAGGAAAAAATAATGAAACAAAAAACCTATAATTGCCTGTTGTGTGAATGGTAGTGCCACCAGACAGCCAAGAGTAAAATACCTGTGCGACAGAAAGCCTGGATCTGCAACAAAGCTGTCATCTCTGCTCCTGCCTGGAAAAGCTGCTATGTTGGACATGAGTGTGGAGATCAATCTCTTGGCCTTTTGTTTACAGAGAAGGTGGGCAAGTGTCTTTTGTTCTGTCACTAAATAATACTCAGTGACAAAGGAGCAATGCCCCAGGGTAAACACACAGCTGCAGCAGGATGGATGCTCCAGGGTAAGGACACGGCTGCAGCAGCCCCGGGCAGGATGGATGCTCCAGGGTAAAGACAGGGCTGCAGCAGCCCCGGGCAGGATGGATGCTCCAGGGTAAAGACACGGCTGCAGCAGCCCTGGGCAGGAGGATGCTCCAGGGTAAAGACACGGCTGCAGCAGCCCTGGGCAGGAGGATGCTCCAGGGTAAAGACACGGCTGCAGCAGCCCCGGGCAGGAGAATGCTCCAGGGTAAGGACACGGCTGCAGCAGCCCCGGGCAGGAGGATGCTCCAGGATAAGGACACAGCTGCAGCAGCCCTGGGCAGGATGGATGCTCCAGGGTAAAGACACGGCTGCAGCAGCCCTGGGCAGGAGCTGCCGGGCTCCGGCGACACCGTGTGGTGAGCTGAGCGCGGAACTGCGCCCGAACGGCCCAAAACAGCACCGAGACCGGCTGATACCAGCAAATTCCCCGTAATTAGACACTATCTGAACACCAGCTCCCCTCTGCAGGGGTGTGGCTCCTGCTTTGTCCAGTACGATGGAGACATTGTCTCCAGTCTGAAGTTGCCTCTCAGCACATCACAGACACATGAACAGCAAGGGTTATGTGCCTTCCTAGATGTCTGCTTTCCTAAATACACAACACTTAAAATCACGAATTATGGTAAATAATGAACTATTACACACCTACATACACAGAAGCAAGACGCATTTTCACAGCTAAGGAGATACAAGCTCCACTCTTGCCTGTCGATTGCACAGGTCTCACACTGATGTGCTGTGCTGTTAGTTGTGTTCTTCTGGGCATTTAAGCAATGTAATGTGGTAAGATGTCTTCCAGAGCAAAACAACCCTTCCCTGGTTTGCTCAGAGACTGGACAGAAAAATGCAGGCCTTTTTGCTCAGTATATCTGGAAACATCACTACCAATTCACAGCCTGCTAACTCCCTCCACACTGCATGTTACCACTTGGCACCAAACCTATACCTAACAAGGTTATTTTCTCTGATAGCCACTGACTATGTCACAGGGATGGGGCTGAAAGCCAGAGTTCCCAAGCATAAGTGCAAGAGGCAAAGATGCTACTTTTCTGTGGCCAATGTGGGCCATATGACAGACTATAAATATTCAGAACTAAATAGGGAAACACTGAATAGAGAAGGAATTACTTAGGATGTACACAGGTACTAAAATAGTCAGGTAAGTGAACAAAAACATAAAAATAGGAAATAATAAAATTAATTTTATTAAAAACAAAAAAGGAAATAAAAGCATAAAGAAAGGAAAAGTAAGTTTCAGGAAGATAAACTTCCTCAATGTCATTTCTGTGTAGCTGCTAATTGGGTAATGGGGTCAACTTTCATGAGTGACAGAGAAATGCTGACAAAAAGCAATGAAAAATGAACAACAGAACCTATATCAGTAGAAATGTGGTATTGACCCAGACACAGAAGTGTGAATTATCTATTGCTTTTTTTAGTATCAATAGTTTCAAATTGCCAAGATAATAAAATATATTTTATTAGAATGCTAGTATAGCATTCTAAAACAGTATAAAGTATAAAATATAAATATAGTGTGTATATATATATATATACTACATACAGTATAAAGAAATGCTAGTGTAGCAGAGTGACAGGTATAGTAAAATTCTCAGGGGAAAAAATGAACACCATGTGTTGTTCCTGTATGAGAGTTCTTGGTGTGCTATATATGTCTCCCTGCTTAAAATCTGCACTGCAGAACTGGTCTCTCAAAACATGTGTAAAAGAGCAGCAGATCTACTCCCTAAAGCTTCCAGACATACCCCATGTGTGTATGACAATAAAAGGTTTAGGTATTCATTCCTGGGCAAGGATTTAGGTGTGTGAGGTGATGAGATTGTTTTCCCCTGCACAGGAAATCCTGCAATACACCTTGTGCACATGTTTGTGATTTCTTGTGAGGATCAAGTTACCAAATGCCTTACAGCTAGACCAGTGAGACTGATCTAAAATAAGTTTTCTTCTTTATCTTCTTTATCTTATTACAGCCTTTTGACAGCATATGTTTTCCCTCTTCCTTGCATAGCTAAGCCATAATTTCCTTAATGTAAGTTGATGGAGCCAACTATCACATTACCAAAATGCCCACAAGACTGACATCCTAGCCCTGCTGCCAGACATGCCTTGCATTGGGTGCATTCTTTTGGAAAACTGCTTCCCCAACTTGTTTACCCTGGATGACCTGCTACTGCTGCACGGTATAAAGTGGAGGAAGCAGGGAGAGGAATGTCCCAGTTATCTCTTCAAATTCATTAAACTTATTTTTTGTCATGTACGTAACTTAAAAGTAAAATTCAGGCCCAACACTGATGCTTCTGACTTGCTGAAATGTGTCATAAGAAATAGCATGGGCATATGGTCTCCAGGCCATATGTAATTCAGTTACAAAATTATTCCCTTTCCCACCTGGAATATTTCTGTGACCTTATAACTGTGAGTGATAACAGATAAAAAATGCTTAAATTAATCTCTGGAACAATAAAATCTTTATCTGTATCATGATAAGAGAAGAAATGGCTTTATCAATATTCAAAATACATTGTTCGTGTCAAGGACTAATTAGCACAAATGAAAAATCTTCTTGATACTGCTATCCTGTCTACTGAAAATAGGTACCATACAATAAATGGGCACTTTTATGAGGAGTGGGTTTTTGTGGTAAGGCATCTCTGCTCTCCCAAGAGACAACAGCTCATTTACACAGGCAATGCTGCTTCTTTCACTAATATGAAACTATAAATAGTTTAATCAGCATAGTCTGGAGGCATTGAACGCTCACAAGCCACGGCAGAGCCAAGTGAGCAGTGGGGTAATGATGGCAGAGATGAAGTGTGGGTGGGCTGCAGCAGGGCCACCTTCCCAGCACTCACGGGAGTAGCCGGCGGTGGTGCCCTCCTGCGCCCGGTCGCTCCCGGCAGTGAGGGACAGCGACCGCGTCTCCGAATCCGGGGAGTTGGTTCTGGTGTCCGTATCCCCCTTCAGAATCAGCCAACTGGTCTTCAGCTGCAGAGAGGAAAAGCCTGTTACCAGATACAGGATGCAACACCTGAAGGCAGTTCTCCCACCTCAGCTGTCTCAGATGCCTTGTGATCTGCTTGTCTGTTTATGCTCGCTGCAGCTCCAACCATCCTCTATCAAATTATAAAAACTGACTCTTTGATGACTTAAGACATCACAGCTACCAGAAACTCTTAATTTTTAGCTGAGCTGAGGACATTTTCTCCGTTCATGAAGCTGCCCACACCACCCCACTTTAGAAGATGCCCTTTGTCATTTTCTTATAATTAATCTGCTCTTGACATTTTTCTTCTAGGCCAATATGCACGCTAAATCTGCAGGATTAGCTTCATCACCGAGGTAGATATTGAGACCAAGTGAAAATCCATCAGTTTATTGCTCTTAATCTCAATATCCCTCCTTCTCTTTACTGTAGAACATACATTCTAAACCCTCTGGGGTTAGCTTTTCCATGTCTTTACAGGAAGACCTAAAAGTAGTAAATGATTATTTCAATTATTTAAAAGAATATGTGAATGTGTTTTAGAAACAAGTTACTTCAAGAATGATTAATACTTCCTTTTGTCCTTTCTGATCATTACCTTCTTATTGTCCTGATCCAAGCTTCCATCCTCCCCATCTGATCTTCTTGCTGCTGTAAGATTAAATTAATTTTAAAAATTTGAACAGAATGCATCTTATTTTTTGACTTCTGTTTTGACTGTAGTTATGGTCCAAATATTTTTAAGAGGGGGAGAAAATAAATTAAAAAAATAGAGTTTGACAGAAAATTTGATGTGTGGAGCTATGGTTTTACAGAATTACTAAAATGATTTTGAAATTATTACAGTAATACTCATCCTCCATATATACAGTAAATTCAGAGGATCTATTCCTGCTGGATTTTGAACCCACATTTTCAGGAATAAACTACTTTTGGGGAATGACTGATGGGAAGAAGAACTGTACATCATAACTTAGGGACAGATTTCTTTGGCCTCCACTCACAGGGAAGCCATTTCCCCCTTCTGTGTTACAATGACCATGAAAGTGCAAGGAGTCACACAGATGTTCTGTAGTCAGCACACCTGGATCTCTTGGGTTCCTAAAGAGGGCAGACAATCATGGTAAAGAAAATGATGAACAAGCTTGGCACTGCCTCTTTATAAAATTCTATATAAATTATAAAATCTGCAAGAGAGATTATGTCAGACTCTAAAATTGAAAATTCTTGACCAACCAATGTTATCACTGTATTTTCCTCTTCTACCCATATTCTCCTCTTGAAGAGTGTTCCCCAAAAACAGTTGCTGATGTTTTACCATTGGGTTATTTCCTTGTAACTTTTCAACTTGCATTTAGAATTTAGAAATTCTAAAATCTTTTCATTAGATAGTTCCCAACCCATAAATGTGTTTTTCCTTCTCTTCTATTTCCCAGGCTATTGTTCCAGACACCAAAATCTTAGAGAAAGCGTTTTGTGCCGAATTTCACACAATTTCAGGTAAGTTCTTAAAATGTGAGCTCTACTTGCCTTTGTATCCCTCTGGGCAGTTTGGGGAGAGTTTTAATGGTGCAAAACTGGAATAATGGAAGGACATAGCATAACTTTAAGCCCACGAGAAACTAATGTAACAAGGTGGTTCCCTGCAATGCCTGAGAAAAATGGCCCTGTGCAATGCAATGCAATGCAGACAGAAAATGGATTTATTATTAAAGGAAAGAGTATGATAATACAAAAGTTAAGGCTCAGATGAGATTCTTAGAGACAGAGATGGAGAGGAGATTAAATTGCACTGTTACAAGTGCTGCAAAACTCCCAGCAAGTTGGGAAAAACTCTGCCCTCTCCAGTTCTCCAGCCATCATGTCTGCAGAGGATCTGCCCTGCATCAAATAACACAGGCAAAAGGCCACCACCAAAAGCATGTCAGTGTTATTCTGATTCAATTTCTGGTGCCATCACACGGCTCACATCCAGACCTTAACTGGTTTTGCTGAGGAGGTGTAGTTAAAAAATGACAAATTGCCATAAGGAAAATATCTTTAGGCTTAGAGGTGAAAATCTGGAACTGTAGAGGAGTTTGGCTGCTTCCCCCCACTTCAATTTAGTGAGGAAAAAAAAAAAATATAGGTTAGAAAATATGAACAGCATTAGGAAAAAACACAAGGTTTTCACAGTTACAGCATCCTGACAAAGGGTATTTTCCCAAGATGGCAAGCTGCTTCTCTGAGGAATAAATAGGAAGGAATATCCAAACATGACAGATGATGAATAAAGTCCCTACATTGCAAGAAGGACCTAAACCTGGTTCAGAGATATTTTGGGAGCACACCCTAAACTGCGAGTCAACAAGTTATTCCAGGTTATGTGTATGGATCTAGTTCTCATTAAGTCAGAAATCCATATAGAGGATGTGATGCATTTTTGGAAATTTTATTTTTGTTTCAAGACACTGATGTTTTCAAAGGAAAAACAAAAAACAAACATGCTTGATTCAAGGTTTCTATTGAGAAATTTCAAAAGTTCCACAAGATCTTGAGAGCATGACTTCAAACAGATGCAGAGGGTTTCCAGCTAAAATCAGTAAGGGCCATGAAGGCCAGCCCCTCCCAAGCTCCTGAGAAGGCTTCATTTAACACATTGCTGGCAGAAAATTGCAAGTGCCCTGAACTTCATCAGTACTGAGCATTCTGAGCATACTGCACTTCACCACTGCAAGGGATACTCAGTTCTGCCATGAATCTCAATGTGCTTTCAAAACTTTTTTAGTAACTTTGAATGGTGTTCAAATATTTCTAAAACACAAACACACACACAACCATGCAGGCTCCTACACTCCTCACTTTCCAACCCCAGCTCTGAGCCTGATCTCTTCTTGCATGTCCCATTTTTCCACCACCTTTTTTTCATTCTGAAGTTGGTTGTTTAGAATAGAAACACCGAAGCTGTAGCTTCAGCAAATCTGTTGGGTGCTGATGTAACTAAAACCTTTTAAAGCCAAATGTTTTGGAAGAGCTTCTTGCACTTCTTGTTTTAAAGAACATTTTTGTGCTTGTTTGTTCAAACTTGGTCTCTTCAACAAAGGAATGTTCTCTGGCTCCTTTTCAGCACGGATTAGTTCAGTGTCCCATCAGCTTGAGGAGCTGAATAATCAGCTACTCATGTGTTCATGCTTTAGCTGGGAGTCCTTCCAGAACAAAAGATAAATCTTTTAAAATTTGATTTTAATTTATATTATTTTTATTGGAAGGAAAGTTTATTGATTTGTTTGAGTTGTTGTTTCTGGATTTTATAGTTTTTGGGTTTTTTTGGTTAAAGGAAATTATGCTTTGCTCTCTGGTAAGAAAAAAAAAAGCATTTCCAACACAATCTTTCAGAACATCTATAATCTAGAAAAGAAAGTTTAAAACATATATTCTTGTTAACCTATTGAGATTGCTGACTCACTAGTTTAATTCTCTGCTCACTTCAGTGGTTAAGAGGATAACTCCATACAGCAATACCAAACTGATATAATCCAGACTTTGACAGACAGCAAACTGATATCAAAATGCCCAGCCTGCAAATATAAACCTTTTGCTTAGAATCCTCTTTGCAAACCAAAAGTATCTATTAAATTAAATTACACAGCTAGGATACAGGATATTAAGAGTCCTATCATTAGCTTCTGTAAATGAGTGAAACTATGCTGATTTACACTAGATGATTGTTACTTTGCATTTGTTCATGATTTTTTCCAAACACCACTACAATATTCACCTTTTTTGTTGTCTTTTTTTTTTTTTTTGCTCAGCCTGAGAAGTTGCATTTAATGATTTATATTGATGAGCAGGCACAGAGGGGCAGGAGAGGGCAAACAGGGTGAGAACAGCAGTGTAGCACAGCAGTTTATGTGGCACTTGTGATCAGCTCTAAATCACCATGATATATCAAAATACCAGTATCCTAGTTTTGGAGAACTCACCACATCCTTGGACATCATGTTATACAAAATGCTATTTAATTTTCATGTTACACCTTTTTCTCCTTTCCTATTTGAGGTTATAGGGACATAATGAAACGCACAGACTACAGCAAACAAATTTGAGAGTCAATACACATTTTTGTGCAAAGACACACAGATAAAACTGCAACAGAGAAAAGCACTGTACCATGCTGTTTGTAGATAGGAGGTTTCCTATAGATGTTATCTTTTACGCCAGTGTCTGAGGAAGAGGAAAGAGAAAGGAAAGAATGAAAGAGTAAGCAAGCAGTTCAGACCGCGCTGCTCTTGTCTCCTCTCAGCAACAATAACAATGCAAAAACTTCAGCAAAGACCATGCATTCATTCAGTGGTTATTAAAAGAGAATGGAACTTTACCCATCCTGTGCTGAAAACCTTTATAGCTACCTATGCATCATAATTCCCACTGAGGCCCTCAAAATGCTCTAAAACAACTTGAGTGGCATTCATTTGGTGATATGTACGGGTTTCATCTGCACTACCAGCACATACCTACTTTATAGACAGCAAAAAAGAAACTGGCACACTTACCACTACTTAAAATTAACACAGGAGTACAACTATTATTGTCAGACTTGGAAAAGGATTTTCTCCATTATTTACACAGTGTAGATGTTCAGGTATGAATGATTATACTGGAAATACAAACCATTCTTTTAGGAAATCCTAAAATTTGTCTTTTCATTGAATTGTATAGCTAAGCTGGCCTTCCAGGAGTTTTCTGGAAGCCCTCAGAGCCACAGTCCAGGGTTCCCATATCACATTGTACAGACATCAGATTTACTCAGTACTCTGGACCTGAGAAGATACAATTCCTAAAAGTGCTCTGTTTACAGAAACATTAACCACAGAAGCTAAATGTAGATAAACAAACAATTACAGTGAGGAGGCAGATGTGTCCAGCAGTCAAAAACTTGAACAGTGTGGATGGGATGTAAGTTTAACGTGCTTGACTGAATTTGAAAACAGTAGAGTACATATACAAAGATAGCCAAAATGAGCGTCCTGCAGTTCTGAAGTCTTCCAGCTTCAAGTTTATATTAATATTACTTAAATTCAGATAACAGACTGATAAGAAAAACAAACAAACAAAAAGAAAAAACCCAACAAAAACCCCTTCAGTCATTCCTCCTGCATACAAATTCAATACATCTATGCAGCTATGGCACATAAATCATAGGCTCTTATAATCATTAGGGCTGAAAATGACCTCTAAGATCATCTATTTCAGCCACTAACCCAGCACTGCTGTAACTTTGTACTCTTGGTAACATTTTTCATTCTCTGCCTTCTGTAAAGCAATTTTTTTAACATATAGGTAATATGAGCACACAGCTCTCTTTTATTTTTGAGATAAAGTTTAACAACAGATATTCACTCAGTAGACATTTTCTCCTTCTGCACTTTGAAATTCACAAATCAATGCCAAAAAAAATAAAATAATACATTCAGGAGAGAATGAACAGGTGCCAGAAATTGAAGATCAAAAGCTAAGCAGTTAATGCCTACCTGGAATATGGAAATGCCTAGGAGCCTGCTGATAGACAGAAGGTGAAGATTTGCTGTCAGAGTACATGGATAAACTTGGAGTGCTCCGACCACTTTCACTGCCTCCAAGGGGAAGAGCAAAGAAAGCAGATAAAAGAAAAATGGAAAGCAAAGTAGAGTATTTCAAGCATAAAAGCTTGTTTAGAATGACTTGTTAATCCAACAGTTTTAAATATATGTTTTTGTAAAACCCATTGTTTTTCAGCATAGTATATTGGCTCAGACTCCAAACACCTCATCAAAAAATACTATCTGATAGATATCAGATTAAGATGTCCTACTTTGAAGTGAAAAATTCTGTTTTAATGACACTTTAAAAAAGAAAATCAAAGGATAAGAACATCCAGAATCTTGCAGTGTGTTTTGCATAGCCTTAACTGAATAACCTATTGATCAAGTGTTTTAAAAGTTTAATGCTATGGCTCGTAGCCTGCCCCCAAAACTAGAAATACATAATTCAGTAGTGTTTAAATTATCTCAAAGCAGGACTAGACCAAAATATAAACATTATGGTCAAGTCAAAAAATCCTGCGTATATCAGTGACAAAAAGAGACGTTGAAATTCGGCTTTCAACTGCAAACTTTTCCCACAGGTAACATGCCACAGCATTTTTATGCAAACGAGGTTGGATTATCAAGTCATGAAGCTATAATGCCATAGTCACTTCACCAAATTTCAAGATATACATAGGATTTTTCCATATTCATTTTTCCACTTTTTTTGTCAAATGCTTATCAGGTGCCATCCATCTCCTCTCGGCTTATCTCCCTGAAGCACACTCTATGGCATTATAGTGCTGCTTGGCAAACAAAAAAGTAAAGCTCTACTTTTTTGGGACTTGTAAAATCCTTTTAGTTTACAGCACTGTTAAGCAACTGGAAGCAAACATGACATTTATTCTTGCATCAAATGGTTGTTAATTTGCTGTTACTGTTTCAGTGTGGATGAAGCACAAATTTAATGGCTAGTAACGATGACGTTGTAGCAAGTTTCTCTGGGGTAAAAAAGTGCAGCAGCCCAGGGCATTAGATGTGCAACTGAGTTCTGCCTTCATGAAGGGGGTTTTTCATAAGCACAGAGCTGTGGGGGCACCAGAGCTGTTGAGGCCATGCCCATGGTCTCTGCTGACAAGCAGTGGGTGCATGGCCATCCCACTGTCACCAAAGCCAGCCTTGCCATGCACCACTGAGGTCAAGGGGACAGGGCCACTGAGCTCAGCGGGAGCAGAGACAGGACAGACAAGGTCAGAGGAGTGTGCTGTGTTATCTCATGACAATACACTAACTAATCCATCCTAAATTTTGTGTATGTAGTGTTCACAGTAGACAAAAAATGAAAAATCAAAAGCTATTGAGCTGCAACTACTCATTAACGGTGATTTCTTGTTGAAAAAGTGTAATCTGGGACACTGACTGAAATCCCAACTACAGGTGCTGATAGCCTATGGCCCTTCCAAAATCTTAAGAAAAAATTATGGAATTACTAAGAATGTGGTGCATCACCATGACTTTGCAGGCAAGCAGTCCTCAGACAAGAAACCAGTTATTCAGTTTCTTGATTCCCACTTTGCTCTTGGAAGGAAAAAAGTGGGGACCGGTTTTCACTCTGCACTTATAATTCCCTTTTTCTTTGCTCCTTGCTGCCCAGATTCCTGCCCATCCCTATTAAACAGGAGAAGCCTCCATGTCACTGGTAGATACTTATGAAAGAAAGGTCCCTTCCACCTCCAAAATTCTTAAAAATTTTGTAATGTCCTTCACTGAAATAAGATCCTGTTATTGGAGTTTTCTAATTTAAACCGAAAATGAAAGTTCTCAAGCAATTTCCACAGTGTATTAATTCCTCATTTATTTAAAAATTAGCATATTATTAAAATGTCTGTTCCTATATGACCTGCATGAATAATCATTGAGCAGTGACCTAAGGTGCTGGTATTGTACACACACAGAAAGTCATTCTTCAGTGATAGAGTAGAATGTCAGCAAGGAATCAGGAGGAAGCATTAATTAGGAGGAATAAACTTGTAGGAACACTAGATATAAGTGCAAGTACCAGGGGATAGGGAATCTAAAATTTCCTCAGTGCAAGGATCATCTGTGTGGAGCAGTTTGCAAAGCCATCACCTCTAACTTGCTCAAAATGGAAGAATTAAGGATGAAATGATGGAAAAGGTTCTTCTTGGACCCACTCATACAAACTGATGCACATTTCAGCTTTAATTCTGCCACTGATTCAGAAAACATCTGAGTAGTTGTATTTCACATTTTGCATACAAAAATAAGTGTTTAATAATAAAGCAAACTGAGGACCCATGTAGAAAGTTAATGAGTAGGAACTACAGACAGCTGCTTAAGCTAGGCTATAATTTAAATCTCTAAAATGAGACTTTGCCAATAAACTATCTCTTTCAAGGTTTGCCTAGTATAGACTGAAGAAGAACTTCAAATAAATTCTAAGAGAAAAGGCAATTACCAGAGAGAGCAATTTTTCAAACTTTTGGGTTTGCCTTCTGCCATAAGTAGCCACAGGCTGTGATCTTGTCCACTGATCAGTGGAGAGCAAAAAACCATAATCCTGAACTGTTCTCTGGATGCTGTTTAACTTGGAAAGAATCTGGAAAGGCTTTGAATTTGAGTGTAAACCACAAAAACTTCCTTGTGTCTTCTGGTTGCTGACAGGGCAGGCTGTACTTTTAACCCTGTGTGTATAGAGCCAGCTGACCAGGGCTCAGACCATGCTCCATCTTAAAGAGACTGTCAGGAAAAGTGTAATATTGCTTGTATCTCCTACTTAGTCAGCTTCTATCTTATTTGTGAGGATGGGAAATTTTATAATAATTTGCAGTAAGAGCTGTCTAAGTTCAGGACTGAACAAAAAACAGATGCCACCGGTTTAACGAGGGAGCTGTCCAAGCCTACTCACAAAACTGGATCCTTTTAATATCTCTGCCCATGGTGTATTAAATTAGAAAAAGTTTTTTAAAGTCTGATGACTAATTCTATTCCAGTTTTCAAAGCCAAGAAAAAGGGCTTTGGAAGCTATGCTCCTGCACTAGGAAGGTGAGATAATTTCTACCTGATTTAATTTCTATCTGTTATTATAATAGATAATTTCTATCTGTTTTAAGCAAACATTTTTTCAGCAGGGTTCAGCACACTCAAAGACTACATCACCTCTAGAGGAACTGCTACAACAAGCATGGGTGCTTGGAATCTCACACCTATGACTTGCAAGGGCATGAACTGTGAAGCTTTCTTGAAGTGAAGTTGTCATAGGACTTATTTTGAAGACCAAAATCCTTAGAAGAACACAACCAAATCATTTGCCTTCATGAAAAATAACAGCTCATCCCATTACACTTCATGGGAGCTAGACTGCAGAAGAACAGGAGCTTAGTAATCATATTTGTCACTGGAAAAAATGATGAACCCTGTCATTCTCAGGAAGAATATGAGGCAACCTCAGTGAAATCAAAAGGAAGATTTTTGCTTGTCTTTATTTCCCAAGGGTAGTAATGTATCTGTCTACTGGAAGTGTAATGAAATCTCTTTTATGACATATGTGGAGTGCTGGTTTTAAAAATTCTAGTATAGTAAAGCAGTGCATTATTTTTGGATCTTATAATTTTTTTTTTAATAAGGAGAATTTCACTTTCTTAAAACTGAAGTGGCAACATTAGGGTTGGTCTGGATACAAACCAACTACTGCTACAATCTCACTCTTCCCACACTAACCATTTTGAAGGGAAAAAAATTAGTTTTTCACTGTGTGGAGCACATCCACACCATCTAAAGGATCCTTAAGATAAGGAAAAAAACACATTCTGGAGCTCTGAATTCAGAGACCTTGAAGAGGATGAAGCAAACCTTCTGACTCATTTTGGACAGATATTATCTCAGTGTAAACCAGTGAATAATCTATTCAGCCCTTGCAGGGCTCAGGATTACCGAGTTAAGAAAATTATGAAAAGGTTCCCCTGCCTCACAGGAACACCATGAGGCACTGTAAGGCACTGTCTGCAAAATATTTTAGCTCCTTGATAAAAAAGTGCTGCAGAATTGCAAGATATTGTAATTTTGATCACACTAATAATTATTTGAGCACAAGGAGCTACCACTTGACAATTCCTTCATCCAAACAGCAGCACTGAATAATTGCTGCTGCTGTGAGAAACAGCAGGTAGCACTGAGCAGAAACCCATTTGCACAGGAGTGCTGCCAAGAAACTGCCAAAGGGACTTTGAGAAAGAGCTTTCCATACACTGAAATCATGTGCTGCAGCACACCAAAGAAGTTTCTCTTACTCAGTCCATCAGGTTGGATAATACCATCCAAAATGAGAGGACAGATAAAAACCAGTTTAAGCAGTGCCTCAGAGAATACCAGGGATTGTGCCAGCCTTTCAAGAAATGTGTGGCAGGCCTACTGCTTCTGGTTGTGGAAAAGAGCTTTGCAGGTAGCCTCTAAGAAAACAACAAATAGTTTAATCTCATCAGCTCTTTCTTCCAAAATTTTCTCTCAAGGACCATATTTGGCTGTCTCAAGCTTGATTCTGTTCCTGTTTATCCTAGTAAAATTCAGCTGAATTTGAGCAGCATCAGGGCCCAAAGGAGATTAGCATTAGCTATTATTCCAAAGGCAATGAGTACCTGATATTCATTTGAATGTGCAAGTCTGGCTCCTGCAGAGGGTCATTCCCTTTTCTTTGCTGGTTACAACCTCAAGAACAAGAGTTTTACTTCACATCAGGGAGTATATGAGAGTCAAGGAGCAGGCATTGAAAGCGTTTGCCATTCATTCTCACAGTTCACACTGTCACTAAAGACAGACTCAGGGGAACACAACTCTGGTAGGTGAATGCCTTCTCTCTCAGACATTTAAACTGACTAAAAAAAAGCCTTTGTCTCAAAAGTTCCTGCCATTCCTCAGCACTCTCATCCACAGCATGGAGGTTGCTAGAAGTTAATATCCACTGCAAAATAATTTAATGGCAAGAAGAACATATTCAGTCATTGTTTTATAAGATATGGCACAGATAGCCAGTGCAGCTGCACTGATGCAACCAGCTGTCATAATTTTTGGCAATGCTACAAATAATACAAATAGTATCTAAATGTATGTTGGAAGGTTAGATAACTAACCATCCTATGTTGTATCAAATGTGTAAGCTTACTATACTATTTAGCATCACCAAAAAGGGCAAAGGTATTTTAGAACTAACAGATTTTAAATATTTCTCTTCCTTAGTTTCATTATAAAAGCTAATTTCTTCCCTTTATCCCTTTGAAAGACACTGAACACTCACTGAAAAAGCAAAAATAAAACACCCCATACCCACTCAGTTTGTAAAACTTACACAGTACATCAAGGAAGCACAAAATTAAGACAAATTTTATCCAAGTGGAAGCCATGCTTGCACAGACATAAAAGTGAAACACAGCTGAATAAATCTACATTATCACAGCACGGTTTTGCATTCCTGGACCTTACCTTTGAAGAAAGGGATGTAATGATGTCTGAATGTAGATGTAAGGCTTGGGTGTTGGGGCAGGGAGATGCAGCTACTGGTACCAAGACTGTGAGTACCAGCTGGGGGCAACAGAGAGTAAGTGAAAATAAACTATTTAGTTCACTTACTGAAAGCCACAAATTACAATGCCATCCTTTTTTTTTTTCAGGAACATTTTCCTCCTGATGCTTAGAAAACATACAGTTTACATTTAAGTCTTCATCTTTCTCTGGTTATTGCTAAAAACATGCCAGTGGCCACGCTATGGGGTCAGCCAAGGGACAGGGGCTGTCCGCAGACAGAAGGCACAAAATGCTGTAAATGCATCAGAAAATATTCCAGAAAAGGCACCACAAAAAGCATGGCTGCACTCAGGGGAAAACCTGCATATTAAAAGGCTGCAAGAGGGAATGAGAAATGCTTATAATGGACCTAATGAAATGAAATGGGAAGAGCCTTGTCGCTGCAGAGAACTGTGCCACGAGTGGGTCCAGTTCTCACTGTCGGTGCTGCACCCTGGTAGGATTTGGTTCACAATGCACCAGGGCACTCCAGTGCACGGCTAATTTAAATATTTGACAAAACATCCTGAAGTTATTTGAGCTCTGAAAGTTAGACATGCCATTAAGTACCTTGAAAAATATTCTCAAGTCATCTCTGCTTTGCTGCGGTAATGTCCTGATAACATGGTTTGGAGGACTAGTGGCAATTATTAAAAATGGTGATTATGAAGATTATCTTCTAAATTTTAAAGCATTAGAATTTATTTGGCATTCCTTGTCTTTCCTCCTTGCTTTAACATTGTGCTACTAAGATTAGGTGTGACAGCTACCAGACCTTCAGCAGAGATTAATGTCACTAATAGATTTTTTTATACTCCACCTCATTTCCACTTTGTGAAAGACTTTGTGTTGTACAAATATTCAATTCCTGTAAAAACTGTCTGTGTTACCTCTAAAATCTTCATTTCCCTTGGAAAGGTTAAGAACTAGCAAATTTCCAAAGCAGTTTAGAATTACAATGTATCTCCAATGAAATAAAGACAACAAAAAAGTAATATAAATGCTCTGTGTTCTTTACCTGAATTATGGAGTAGAGAAAAAATACAATTAATTTTGAAAAATTTCACTGATTATTTCAAAGGATAAAACCCTGTACAGAGCCCAAATATGAATGGGGTTTAGTAAAGCATTCCCATGCAAGCATCAAAAGGAGATGATCCTCCTGTCTATCTGACGAGAACACCAACACAGCTACTGCTACAGTCCAAAGTTGCAAGAAACACTCTGTAAACTTCTCAACTAAAGGAACCTGGCCTTCAAAATCCAGCCATCAGGACTAGTCATTCCTCCAGCTTTTGCACTGTGGACCCTGTGGTACAAGAATGTAACACAAAGTCACTCCATCACCCTCTTGGCTTTGTGTGCATTCAGTGCTACTGTGCACACCCTGGGAGAGCTGTGGATTGAGTGTGTACCTTCAGGCAGGATGAGACCAGGATTCAAACCCTTTAAACCCCCCTATCTTGTATCCACATAAAATAAATTTTTATTAAATGCCTAGTTTTCTTTTCTTTTCTTTTCACAGTAAATAAATCACTGCAATGAACTGCTATTCCACCTTAAGCCCTTGTCTTCTGGAGTCAATTCTTCTTACAACACAGCACAAAGTAATGGAAAAATCTGGAGAATAAGTAAGGCTGCTTTTGGATTACCTGGTCTGCTGTAATGCTGAGGAGAATGGGAGGTGGGGGTGTACCGACCATAGCCCAGGGAGCCAGCAGAGCTAGGACTTGATGTCCTGTACTGCTTGAAAGATCTGTCATCTTGGTCACCCTTAGAAGAAGAGAGGAAATACATGTTATTAGGGAAGAGAAGTAACTTCTCCAACAGGCAGAATATGCCATCTCACGTGTTTCTGTGATGTGTAGATGGGAGTCGATGCTGTCCTAAGATTCTGTGCAATCCTAACAAAATGAGGTGGCTTTCAGCACATCCACCTGTGTGTGACTGAAAGAGCTCTGCCAAGTGCCAGAGAACAGCCATGTTGCCAAGAAAGTCAGTTCAGACATAAATTAAAAATTACAATTTAATTTGAAAAGAACTGTAGAAGTGTTGCTTCAGGACAGTGCAATTTCCTGAACAAATAGAAGTGAGTGGAAGACAAGCTCAGGTCAGCATGATAATATTATGGTCACTTTGTACTCATATGAACGGATGCATAACGGTTACAGACAACACAAAAATCAGCATTTGCCGGTTTCACTACATCATGAAAATGACTGTGTATACATTGCCCAGTTTGCCACACTGTAACATGGTCATTACTCTAAAAAACCCAACATTAACACTCATGTAGCATTAGCATTAACACTGCACCACTGTGCAGAGCCAGCCACACAATCCAATTCCCATTAAACCCTTTAAACCAGTTAAAACCATGTACACACACTCCAAGCCTCTGATTTTCAACAGCTAGTCAAACTGCAACTGCAATCTACAAGTAGGGTCTTCTTAATAGTAAAAGCACTACTGAGTGAAACAGAGGGGGAAGTGACTCCATGTAAACTAGCTATAAAAACAAATTCAAATTTGCCCTTTTTTAAGGCACGTGAGAATTGCCTTGAGTTAACTTCATATCAGAACAAATATATGGGGATGCCTTTAGGCATCTGTGTGATTCCCAATGGATCATTCATCATTGAAATGAACCATACATCCTACTTAGCCTTACCATTATCTCCAAAATTCCTATCAGAATAACTTGATTATGTCCATACATGCATCTTTAAAAGAATTTGGCTTCTTTGTGACTATCCTTGATTCTACAGAGATGTACAGTATTCTGACAAGATATGCTCCATTCCTTCAACATCACCCCAGACGTACCAGCTGCCGGTTTCAAAAGTGGAAAATCAGTTTAGTATGGTGGCCAGCAGCATTATTGCTTTAATATCAAGTTCAGAAATAGTTAACAAAAAGCAAAGAAGAACTGATGCCTTCCCAAGCGTGCAGTGTTCTGCAGGCATTCTGCCACCTACTCCTCTATGTCCAGCTCGAGGTGTTTCCTTCCCAATGTACCTACATTGTGTAAAAGCCACTCTAACCTTTGTGAAGAGAATTACAAGCAGCACTGCAATGGCTCTACAAACTCTTGTGATGATATTAAATATCATATGAGTGTCAGCTAATGGTCTCTGATGTGTCCAATTGTATGACACAGTGGAACTCTCCTCCAACAAAAAACCCTGCAACAAAACTGGTGACAAGTTTGCAGATGACGACACCCGAACACCTGACCACAGACTCCTTAAAAAGAGACAGCAAGCACAGAGAAGCTGGAGAACATGGGAGTACACACAAATCATGGCACTCCCAACCTCCACACCAGCATCAATTTGGAAATTAATATTGGCAGTTTGGTAACTGAATTTAAAGGACATTATTATAATCTTCCAAAACACCAAGTTTTCATTTTGGTTTGGACCTTACCTTCGTGTACCTTGTGTCTCTGCAAGGAACAGTCAACCCAGTTCATGTAGCCCACTACTACATAAAACATGCTTTTATTTTTAAATTATCAAATAAATTACATCTCTACTGGTTAGCTCCTCTGTTAACCAGTTCTTAAAGTGATTTACAGTCCTTAATTCTCCATGATTACCAAAGTTTTGCAGTACATAGAATTGGGATAATGGAGAAATTAGCCAGACCCATTATATGTAATTGAGTTACTATCTGGGAAAATACATGAAATGCTTTCACTGCTTCCAAATTGATTTTTCTTGAAACAATGATTAGCTTAATTAATGCACATCAAAATACACAGAGCTAGAAGTTCAGGTATGTGCAAATGATTTAGAAGTAGGTGTACACAAATAGTATAAGTAGTTTAACTATTTGTGGAATAAAAAATGAGAAAGAAGAGAAATCTATGCTGAGCATTAATTCAAATCAGC